TTCCTTTTTGCTTCTTTGGAGATTCTGGGTATTTGTTTCTTCTCCCAAAATATTGTGATTATTTTATAATTGTTAGGTCGGTGAAAAGGGCTTCTCTCAATAGTTAATCCAACCTCTTGGAACGAGATATCTCTTCCAAAGATGATAGTCACATAATTGATTAAATGGGTGTTCTTTTGTTTATTATTTGTTGGTTGATTGGAATTATATGTGTAGTTGGCCAATAAAGTGACCCAACGTTTGTTCATCTGCTTTCTCTCAAATGCAATTTTGTTTGTTAGCTTGTGATTGCTTGTCTGGGTAATTTGTGAAGGCATTGAACTTGTATGAATGATATAGCATAGGGTTGGATGTTTGGTTCCGTCAATTTCCTGTGAATATATAACTGATAAAGTGTCTCTTTATTTTCATATAATAGGGATGGCACGCTTACCTACCTTGTCTCCAACACGTAGGCTTCATGTGGTAGCAGCAATTAGCTCTTTCTTAAACTTGATTATGATTTACGTAAATTTAGGTATGGGATTAGCCGAGCTCATAGAAAAACGAAAATCTAACCCAAGACTTGGTAGGCAGCCCATGGACACCGACTTAGTTAGACATTATGACAGGCAAAGACACCTTGAACTGGCAATCCGTAGGAGTGACACATATGCGTATGATAGGGTTAGGATGAACCGAACCCTATTCAACTCTTTCTGTCACCTTCTTATTACTGAAGGAGGATTGAAAAGAACTAGGAATGTTGACATAGATGAGATGGTTTACACCTTTCTTCGCACTATTTCTCACAACGAGAAGAACAGAACTTTAATACTGAATTTGCGACGATCGGGAGAGACCATTTCTCGCTCTATACATCGGGTGCTAAGGGCTGTCATTCGCCTAAATGATATGTTAATGAAGAAGCCTGTCCCGATTCCTGAAAACTCTACCGATAGTAGATGGAAATATTTCAAGGTTGGTTTGGACATTTTTTTAAACGGGTTTACTCAATACTTAAAAGTTGGTTTCATTCGATCTTTAAAATGGTTATTCTTGTGTGTTATAGAGTTGTTTAGGAGCCCTAGATGGTACTCATGTACGTGTTCGTCCATTGAAAGAGGACCGATCTAGATATCGAGACAGAGAAGGGAAACTTTCTATGAATGTGTTGGGGGTGTGCACTCCAAATTTGGAGTTCATCTACTGTCTTTCCGGGTGGGAAGGTTCTGCCCATGATGGAAGGGTCTTACGAGATGCCTTGACAAGGCAAAATTGTTTTACTGTCCCACAAGGTAAATGATAGTACTAGGTTAACGTACAAGTTTACTTAATAAAAAAAGAAACCCCTCTAAACAAACTGATTTTGGTGTGTATTGTTTTACTATAGGCTGTTACTATCTTTGTGATGCTGGTTATGCAAATAGTCCTGGATTTTTGACCCCATATCGTGGTCAAAGGTACCACCTCAAAGAATGGGGTGTTAATCCACCTGAAACTGCCGAAGAGTTCTATAATATGAAGCATTCATCAGCTAGGAATGTCATAGAACGCATTTTTGGGATTTTAAAAATGCGATGGGCTATTCTAAGAGACTCATCATGGTTCGCTCCTCGTGAGGTTGCTCGAATTGTGGTTGCATGTTGCATTATACACAACTTCATCAAGAGGGAACAAGGAGCCGATCAATTTGAGAGAACATATCAAGATGAAGAACCGGAACATCATCCTTCAACTGAGGTTGAGACAATTGATACTTGCAGCATGCATCCTTGTCCGGAATGGACACAATATATGAACCAAATAGCAATTTCCATGTGGGAAAATAGGCCTAATAGATGAAATAGTCCCCTATTTTGTTAATGTGATGTTTCTGTGACCTTAATTATGTACTGAAGTTTGTATGGTATGGATGTTGTTTATGGTTATTGAAGTTTGTACTTAAATATGTGAATGTTGGATGTTCTTTCTGTTACTATCTTGGAGGGGATGTTCTTTACTAGGTGCTTGCAACGTATTTTTCATTATACATACAACTTACACTTTTGTCTAGTAGGTATGGGAAAGAAGAGGAAAGTTGTAGACAATGCTGGTGGTCCTTCACGGGAGTATAATGTGTGGGATTCGAAACACGACGAGCCTTTTCTGCAATGTTTATTGGAACTAACTGAGAAAGGGCAGATTAGTGACGGCACATGCAAGAATGGTGCATACAAGGAACTAGAACGTATGATGGAAGCCAAAGTGCCTGGTTGTGGAGTGAAGTCGAAACCCACGATTCTGAATAAGTTCAAGAAGTGGAAACAGAAGTATCATGCCACCGTTGAGATGCGTTTGGTAAGCGGGTGGGGTTGGGACCCTATACGCTGCCATATATTGGCTGATGACAAGTCCTTTGATGACTATGTGAAGGTAATTGTTTTTATTTTTTGTTTATTGTATCTTTTAGTGACTGTCAATGTGAATTTTCCATTAAATGTCTCACACTGTATGTTGGGGGGTAGTTTCTTAGTTGGTAGGTTTGTATTTATGAAGGCCTTTACATCTATAAATGCTACCACTATTTGCTTTACAAGCTGCATGTGTTTGTTTTACAGGTCCATACACACTGCAAGGGAATGAACAAAAAACCATTTCCACAATTTTGGGCACTCGAGCCAGTGTTTGCCAAAGGTCGTGCTAATGGTGAAACTGGGTTCACCGGAAATGATGGAAACTCGTCCTATACTAGCGCTGAAGGTGAAGAGCCGCAACCAGAATGCTTTGAGGAGTCTGTCCCTTTTCACGTCGAGGACTTTAACAATGACACTACAGAGGAAGTAATGGCGGATATAATAAATGAAGGGGTTGAAGCTCGTAACTGCAGCAAGAGGAAGCACTCATCAAAGCCTAATTCGACAAAAAAGAAGAAGAAAGTGCAAGCCGATGATAGTACCTCTGAAGTTGCAGCTGAGATGAGAGAGATGAGGCCACTCATAGACCGATCAGCTGAGACGATTGCTCGTGCTTTGGGTGAGAGCGAGTTGCAGAACAGTATGCGACTCGATTTGATGAAGAATTTAGAGAAGCTAGAGGGTCTTACCAGGTCTCAAATGGTACTTGCTTGCAGAAGGCTTAACAACAGTCTGGGAGACTTGAAGACCTTCTATAATATGGAAACAGAGGAGGACAAGATGACCCTTGTGCTTGATATTCTGTCTATGTGAAGATGTGGTTTGCTTGTCTTAGGATTAGTGATGTCTTTGTCCAGTTTGCAAAGAGTCTTTTGCCTATGTATCTGTCATTATAAAGCACTTGTAATGACAGTCTTTGCAAACCTATGACAAGCATCTATTTTGTAAAGTGCTAGATGGTTTAGAAAACAGAAACTTATGGTAGATATGGTGTAAATGGAATGGAAATGCATATATTTATATAAATTGCAGCTTGTGTTTTTCTTTTTTAGGGATTGTTGCTTTACTGTGTTGGCATACGTATGAATCTTTCTAGGACTGTAGCCCCCAGTTTGGCTCACTGTAAATGAATGATGAATGGAGGTAGAAACAAAATATTGAGGAGAAGATGGAGAAACAGAAGCCAGAACACACTTTTGTTTGGAACTCTCGATGAACAAGTGTAGGAAGGGATCAATTGTGTGCTTTAATTTTTTTACATCTTTACAAAGGGTAGTTTGGTATTTTCTAAGTTTGTGTACCAAATAGCACATCACAAAATAACACATCTCTAATCCTTTCCAAACATGATATTTGGAACAAATATCATATATCAAATAACAAGTATTTGGCTATGTAGTATTTGGTAGGTATTTGGCCTCAAATTACAGGTTTTTCAAATCATCAATCCAAACGACCCCTAATATTCACCATGAAACGAACTAATGTACATCAAACTAATATACCAGGCCTTCAAACTAAAATTTCAGGCATGCGAAATAATATTTGACGGAGATACAGAACTAATTTAAGACAACTAATATCCACATCATCATATAATAGAATCCCAAGCCTGTCAACGGCATCAGTTGTCTTCTTATTCTTTGTTCAGCGACGGCTACAGTAGTTGAATCCGCCTTCATCGTCACGTTGCCGTCAAAATCGCCATCGTTGCAGCCCTCAAAGTCGTCGTCGCCGTTGTTGTTAAAGCCATCGTCGCCGCTTCACTTAAAGTCGTCGTCACCTCGCCGGAGAGATTTTGTGGTGGTGAGAAGGTTTCGTAATTGGGAGAGAAAGGGAAGATGAACCTTTTTTATTTTTGGAGAGAGAAAAGTAATGAACTGAATGGTGGAGAGAGAAGTGAAAAAGTAGGTTTATTTGAGAAAGTGGGTGAAATTTGAAAAAAAGTGGGCCCATTTTTCTTGATAGGTGGAATTGGCATGGACGAGCTGAGCCGGTCACCCTCTCCTCCCCCTCACATTCCGGCGACATTGCTCCACCACCTCCGATTGCGACTCGGCGACGTGGACAACCATTTGCCCGTGTGAGTATATACTTACTAGAAGAGCTGTAAGCAGGATAATTAGATTGTGGGAGGAAGGAGGAGGAAGCGGCTTTGGTGGATTTGGGGAAAAGAGGAAGAAAGTTCGGGTTGGGTCAAATAGAAAAAAAGGTTAAGGGTTGTGTTATGGGTTAGGTTGATTTTAATGATGTGGCGGGTTTTAATGACATGCTAGGTCGCGTTCTGCTTTTGTTGGGTTAAATCCGACTGATTAGGCGATTCTGTTTGTCATGTCAGCACTGAACAGACTCCATTAATGGAGTTGGACGGAAACTAATGAAGAGTGACCAAACATAACATGTTGTAGTAAATTTAATGAGATAGTAGTAAACCCAATAAACTTAGAATTCACCCGTAAAATTGGGTATCCATGGTGATTGGTGGGGGCTCGAGGCTTTAGAGTTGCGCAAGTTCTGAAAGAGCCAACCCAAACCGGTGGCAACCAATGGGATTTCACGTCCCATCGAATGTTTGGATCTCCGTACCAATTATCCAACTGAAATATCGAAGCTAATGGTCCAAAATTGATGAATAAAATTATGGCAAATTCACCATGATCATGAGATCACAAAGCCCAGCTGATCCAATAAAATCGTTATACAATAGTACTCACTCAGTCTTGGATTGGCCAAGTACAAACACTTAATACAATTACAGACTTAAAATAGACTCATCCGACCTAAAAGTTCCGTTTCGTTCTTGGATTTCAGCCGTCTTTCTCTGGGTCCTTAACAGTTGAAACCGTATGCATTTCACACTAAAACCCCTCGTATTCTGTATACTATCCTACAGCGCTTATGAAGAACATCGACAACTCCACCTGCAAAATTGGACCTTGTAAAAGCCAACTCCTGATCTAAAAACTTTACATCAAATCAGCAATACACTCGATGCAAAGGAACCATTTCTTTGTTCAGGGTTCGTCGTGTGTGCCAACAGGAAACAAGACTCCAATCAAGCGATCTCCTGTCATAAGTTGTGCTTCGTACTTTCAGGTAGCCGTCTCGACTTCCTCAGTCCCATCAGGTGGCTTTCTGCTGTCAGATCGACTGCCCAATTCATGATCTCTTGTTTCTGACACTTTCGAGCCGTCATCAATATCTGGGCTAATGCCATTGTCTTTGTTCTCATCTGTGGTTACCTTTGTGTATACAACAGCATCTTCTTTAGCTTCTTCATGCTCCTCTACATTGATTTTATCACCTGGGCATTCAAGGTCCACTACTCCTTGATTGTTGATAGAACTTGGTTCTGCATTGCTCGAGTCATTATCCACCAGAATGCTGGTTTCTTTACAATCGTTTTCAGTTTGAGATGCTTCATTTTCAGAGTCGGCTATTATATGTTCCTCTACATCAGTGTCATCTGATTTTGAGAAGGTTATGGCTTCCTCATTGGAGGCAGGAAAAGACTGGAAAGTATCCCAGTCATCATCGTCCTCTTCTTCATCATCCTCTAGTGCAGTGTTTTGGTTAGAAATTTCAGCAGGCACAGAAGCTTTAACTGTACTTGTTGCTTCGGGTATCTTCACAACTGAAGGCTGAGAATCCTTTGGCACTGGTAATTTTATTTCCAAGGGTGCTGCGGACTTCATCGGAGACACACCCTGATCCTGTGCTACTGATGCACGAATAATTCCCTACCGATAACAGGGAGACAAGAGTCAGCTCTTGATGTTTAAACATCATGCAGAGAGAACAAAGCTGTTTGATGTGCAACCAGGAGGGAAAGGATTTTTACAGGATTGAAACACGGCATAATGGGAAGTGAATGACAGAAAAGTAATCACTGTGAAGGATCTAAACAGCAAAATTTTGACAAAATGTTAGAGCACAAAGACCTTGAATGCAAATCAACAGGGTCATGCGCCAGTCATACTAGATTGATGTAACCCGCAGCCATCAGGTTACAAATGAAGCAACTAGCTTTCCAGTCAAACCACATGGATTGATCAGGTTAGAGTTTTTGAATCATTGGGTTCAACTTACAAAGAGCAGCAGCACAGGGCTTGTAAAACGACGTGTTGTGCAACCACCATGCCCCATCTCACATATACAGATAATGAGTCAAGGCATTCATATTTAAAAAATCCGGAACCAATCAGATGTAGCAGTGTTGTTTTATGGGTACTGACTACTGACCTACTTTTTGGTGAATCTTGGATGACTAAATTAAAAGGAAGCATGGAGAATCCAACCATGTAATAGTCTATCTAAATCACAAGTCAGTGAGCAACAAGGAAGTTCATCAACTCAAAAGAAATCATTCGCAAAATCAATGAAAACAATGCAAGCCAGAATGCCATAGAAAACGTTGCTGACATTTTATTTTGCGGTGAACGCAGAACATTTGATTCAATGACACTGGTCATCTCTACCACTACTTGCACAAGAAGCCTAAATTAAGGGATGTTGGATAGTTGTGAAATGGGCCCTCCACATCACATTAATATCCACAGGTTGATAATCGGGCAATTCAGAAGCAATCAAATGGTAGATGTTCTGTTTCTAATATGCATAAACAGACTGGCAGCTTAAGGAATGAAGAATACTACAAGGGCCTTAAATGGTTATAACCAATCTGAAGCATAATTGTAGGTACCTGAAGTTGCTGCCTATGTGCAACAGGCATTGACACTAAAACGTTCCTGAAGTGAGCAGCAGATGAAGGAATTTGAACAACTTGGGACACAAGCCTTATAGCTGTGGCTTTCACATCATCACATTCCTGCATTTAGTAATGTTTCCAAACTAATGTCAATAATTTAGAGGGAATTACCAACTCTAGTCTCACTTATATCTAAATTCTTCAAGTCTATTAACCTGGGAATAATCATTCTCGGATGACAAGAAGATCATAATGATAGCTCTCAGAAACAAAATCATAAAGCTTCTTTGACTTTCACTGGATGTTGAGAGTGTTTGCAGAAGCACCAGGAACCTCAAGCACTCTGGGAGAACAGCTACTGCTTCTTTACTTACAGGTTTCTGTCAAACAATATGATAAAGGAACATATTAAGGATGAGAAGTTTCTAAATCATACACCAATAACAAAATATTTCACTGCGGAAACGAAAACCTTCAACATTGACTGTATTATTGTGAAAACATCCAAGATAACTTCTCCACTAAGAAGCATGAGGAATGCTCTGTCATCTTCATTAGTGCTTTTCTGTAGCATGCTTTTTAGCACTTGTAGTCCAATTACTTGCACCTGTTCAAGGAAAATTTTCAAGACGGTTACTTAGTGTGATAAAAATTGAATTCATTCACAGACAAAAAATCCAAATTTTTTAATATAGATGAATTTTGGCCCAAGGTTTTGACTCTGCAATGAATCAGTTGTTTCCATCCCCATTACAACTAGGCCAGTATGTTCAGGTTAAAAGATTTTAGTGTTGTCACCTGCAGATCTGCATCATTGAGCACCACATGGAGAGAGTCTATACAACGACTGAACACCAAGAAACAGATGGAACCTTTCTCTGCAATTTCTTCACCAAGGCAAGATTCGTGGGCTAGCTTGGCAATCGACACAGTTTGTTCAACAGAAAAAGATAACTTCAATTGCAGTAGCTTGCGTAAGTCAGAGCTGCTCTCCTTCAGATGATGCATGCCCATTATACAATCTTTGGCCAAGACAGTGATAGCATGCTGAGAAGTTGCAAGGAGAGCTCTCAGATGGTCATCACCTTGTTTCAAAGAATCTGTTATTATAACATACATTAGCATATAAAACTTAAAGCCAGTTCTATAATGCCTCACTTGTGAAACTCACTGAAAATTTGGCTGAATAATCTGAGTGCACATCATGCACATAAATTAGTGAAGTACCCTTTTCCTCTGAAATGGCTGAGGCTAGACTTAAAAGTACTACAAAGACTCAAGTAAAAAAGAGGATGGACAGCGCTTTCCACGAGGTAAAAGCTCGGAGAATACTGCTCAAAGCACGGCAATGGTCAGTAATGACAACATCAAGTGCAGTAGCTCAAGAGCTATTCCAAGTTCGGTTATTCTAATTAATATTTTGTTTGTCCTTCATTTTTGTTCAAATGCATCTCTCAAATCCAAAAGCCATATAACATGTATACTTTAGTCCGCCGCCCTTGCATGAAGCTACGGCAACGATTCACATAATGAAGGTAGGATGAAGAGCAAAAAATCACTGGGCAGAAAATATCAAATAAACTATCTACTTAAGCAAGTTAGGATATCCTAATTACTTAGGTTCTATAATCAAATAAATCTGTCTTTGCTCATAGCATATGGCATTTAGCTTTAGAATAAGAGCACAGTAATGGCACAGGAATATTTCAACCTCAACGCTGATGAATGGCGACGTGCCGTTTTCCAACATATCAAGCCTAAGCACCCCAACTGCCAGTGATACATATATTCATTCATGCGACTCTGGACGTTTACTTCACATTCTTCACCTGATTTCAGGCCCTATGTTTGTCCAGAATGATCCATATAAGTAACAAATTCAGTAGCAAGCCCCTCACTGTCATCTAATACTAGTCCATGCATGGTTCCTACATCCAAACAACCAATATAATCTGGTGGAACTTCAGACCCTGGTTCATTTCCGCTTCTTACTAGTATTGACGTAGTTGCTTCTGAGCACCATGAACTTCAATGGCTTTTATAGTCCAAATTTGAGTTTCACAACTAACTTCAATGTGGAAGATTGAGACCTTAAGGACAAGTAACGATGATTCATGCATGCACACAAAATGACTATCTCATAGAATTAATTAAGTGAAATAGCAGAAAATGATAACATAGCAGACAAAGGAACCAACTTCAATCTCATTGTGAAGATGCTCACCTTTGACAAGGGCCTTCAGCAAGGGACTGGTACACTTAGAAAAGTCATTAATTGTTGAAAAAGACAACTCAGTTGCAACTTCTCTAACACATTTACAGCTGACTAATGTAAACGGCAACACTATCGACTTCAGTTGGTTCTGCATCTTGAAGATAAAAAGTGAGGGTAGCATCCATAAAAATCTTAAATTGGTAACAGTAAATGCTGAATATCAATAACAGTAGTAATCATACCCATGGCAGCCAACAAGAAATAGCAAGATGAAGAAAATAAACCAGGCCGAGCAACACATTATAAGCACACTGCACTAGAAGCAAAAGAAGATACACTAGAAAGACCACATTTCAAATCCAGAAAGGTTGGACAGAAATTAAAAGCTATACCTTCGTGCTAAGTCGCCTAACAACAGTTTTAGCTGTAGTGAATATTGGAGATGTTAATTCCTCCCAATTTGAATGCTCTGGAGAAATTTCGGAACTGATCACGAGACAAGTAGAAGAGTTAGCCAGCATATTGAAGTCAATGCTCTCGCTTGGAAGTGCAAAACTGCTAATTACTCCATCATATACATAGTAAGAGATATACCTTCGTAAAATATTGAAGATGTATGCGAAAATAAGTTCCATGACTAGATTACCAAAACTCTGTTCTTCAAAAAACTCTGTAGGACAGTTCAGCACAATCTGTTTAATAAGATAAAAGATAAATTTGCTTTAGCCAAAGCATCATATTCCTCATGATCATGCTGTATAAATCGTACTTCAGCTATACCACTTGACTCTAATGAAATCATGAGATAATATGCATAAATGATTCCTCATGACAGCAATAGCCCAGTACAAAAAGCGCAACGAAAATACTGAGCAATTTCTACCAAAAAAACTGTGCGACAAGGTAACTAATCTCTGAGAACAAAAATTGGCAGAAAAATGCCTTTATCCAAGTATAGGAAACAGAGAAATGTTGAGAATGCTCAACAGAATGGTTGAAAATAAGAAATAAGTATTGATACTCCCATTGGACAAGCTAGAAAAACAACAGCAAGTAGTAGAAATAAGATGTTCAGGCATTTAAGCAAGTATTTATAGTGAAGTAGCCAGGCGACAGAATAACCCTACTACCTTCCCACAGTTGAATGATACATGGTTTTTGGTTTAGCTATCTAGTTGTCTCCTCTTAAATATATGTCTTAGTTAAATATTTGATTCAGGTTTAAAGAAGATGAACAGAATTCATCGACAATAAAATCAAAAGGTGTACTGAAGTCGCTATGGACTTGTCTGATGAGAAATTCATCCTTCAATTATATCTTAAACTTGAACTGTTGAACTGTCAAGACCATGCATGTCAAAACCATTGTACTAAAAGCATGACTGTCCATATACTTCATACCTGTGAAAGAACTGATAACGCAAGACTGCTCCAAGAACTGTCCATATAAATGGAATACGAAAAAACCTGCAATCAACAAATTGGTGCAAGAAATGGTCCCATTATGATAAGACTATTAATATTCACTCGCTGAAGCAGTTATTCAGCCCCCACAGAAGCTGAACTACCATAGATCTAGTCTAAGCATATGAAAACCAATGCTAAGAAATCTACCAGAAGGATCCTTAACTTGTTGCAAACAAGTTCCAATTATGATGGAAAAAGAAAAATCAGTATCCAACGCCTGCAGCAGTTATTTAGCACCATGCTGAAGCCCAAGGACCTCAAATCTAGTCCACGCATATCTCAAGCACTATTATACACAAGATAGAAATCTTTTTATTGAAAGTAGAAAAGAACCATATTCAGACTAGAAGAGTGTGATCTATAAAGCATGTTCCTAAACTGAGTGAACACATGATAGAAATATGGCAAGTAACGAACCACACAAACAATTGATAATTCAAGTACCATTTTCCTACCAGGGAATCGTTAGCAAAAAGGTAACTTTTTCCTTTGGCCATCACAAGCTCAGGACCAGTAACAAGATAACTGTCTTGGAAGTGTTCTAATGCAGGTAAAGATTGAATATTCAATTTTTTAGGACTTTCCACAGTATGCTTACTGAATCTACTTGAGAAAAGCATAACAAAAGTAGAGACACGCGTCTTTCTACACCGCTACAATAATAAAATAAAATAAAGCATAAAACAGATTACCACCTGCAGGAGTTCCCGGCAAACATCCACAGTAAGGAACCCAGCAGCGAAAAATCTTTGTGAAGAAAGAAACTGGAACACCGGAAGAACAACTTCATGCAGCTTTAAGGTTGTCAAATTTTTTTCATCAACAGGCAAATCAGCACCATGCGTAACTTTTGCAGAAGTCACTGGTATTATTCTTCTACATTGGGCAACATGATGTCGCTGGAATAAAACAAGTAAAGCGAACCCCCAGACAAAATGATAGTCTTCCATATCCAGTTGAACCATGCTATATCCTGATATCAAACTGTTGTTTGGCACATTTTCAGCATCCGATGCACAATTGGTATTAAAGTTTACAGGAACTGCATCAAGTGCAAGCGCTTGTAAAATTATTGGCCAGACTTCTTCCAGAATTGGCTGCAATTTTGCCAAAGCTAGGGGTGACTGAATTTCATCAAGAAGATTCCACTGTAAGAGGAGAATGGGTATTAGTAAGTTTCCCATATAAACTTATTGCAAAGGAAATCCCTGTTACATTAGACTAGATCATTTATTTTAATTTCTCATCTTACCTGTTTCTTAAGCTTCAATTGTAAGCAAATGTAGCTGTAATCCTTCATAATATGGATCCAGTACTTTCCCAAAATACTGGAATTCTTTGAAAACAATGGCAGTAGTGCTAAATACTCGTCTGGGACTTCACTTTGATGCCTCCTCAAAAAAGCATAAGCATAACATTTGAGGGAGGCATGAGCGGCCAGAAGTCGTATCTTGATCTATTTCACACAAAGAAAATCTGTCATTCCACCATATCACTGTAACATGATGGAAGGAGTGCCAAGAAAGGCATGTAGTCACATTATAAAAATGCACAAAACAGAGTTTTTTTTTTTTACCAAGACAACACAAAACAGACTTGGGTGTGTTTGTTTTAACTTTTGCTGGTAAATAAGTGACTTTCTAAATCAATAATGGAAGAGGGGGAAATGTGTATGTTGGGTTTGAAAAAGAATTAGGTTGATGCAATGTGAGATGTTTTATAGTAATAAAAATAAATTAATAGCATAGTAGATAATTTGTTTACTAATAACAAAATGAGTGAATATAAAATTATAAAGGGAAAAGGTTGAAAATAAAATTGTCTTAATAAGGTAGCTTTTAGCTTTTAATAATTTGTGAGATTACGAGTGAATAGTGGTTCTAAATGGTTAGTTTAGGGAAGTGTTTGTTTTAACTTTTAAGCAACTAATTTTTGAAGTCACTTTATAGCCAAAACAAACACTACAAAGTTTTACCTAAAACAATTCAGTTAAACATCTTTAAGCTATTGGAAATTTTGGAGGAAAAGGGAACACTAGGGTGATAAAATAGATAATAAATCATTTCCACGTGTGAAGACCATGTATGAGAAGCACAGTAAAATTGCTTTCTTATTGATTTAAAAAACAATACATAGAAATAAAATACATGAAATGAATTTATAAACTCTTTCGTGATGTGTTCCCCCCAAATTTCCCTCATTTAAAAAATAGGCGAGTTAATATTCCAAAAATTAGGCGAATGTATTGCAGTGAAAAAGACCACAAATCTCCACCTTGCTTGTGTCACTGACATAATAAATGATGGAGAAATCTTCATTTCCAGAAAACCCGGAGGTATTTCCCTTCTTAACCAAGCATATGCCACCCAACACTATATTTTAGTAATCTTTAGGAAGACATACCTTGCATGAGACCCATTCTGCAAATGAAGGATAGTATATGTCCTTGAATTCATCCAGAGGTCGAGAAATCAATAAAAATATCCTCTTAACTGCAACTTGATCACCTCCCAGTATCCCACTGGTCATTATCTGAAGAACATGTGTTAGCAGATCTATTGAAGCATAAAATTATTTTAACAAGTTTTATTTTAAGAGAATGAGAACCCCAGCCAGAACCTTAGTTGCCAATTGCAGCCCTGCCTCCAGAAGTATAGGGCCTGAGGATATGTCTAGTGCAGTACGAACAGCTGATACTAATTGTGCCTACATATCAAACAACATAAAGTAATCAACGGACAGTGCCTTGGTGAGATATATCAATGATATTGTTGTTGTTCTAGTGAGTATACCAAGAAAAGGGGTAATACAATATGTATGCAATATATGCTAAGTCTTTAAGTGCTCCATAGGCCTATAATCCACTTTCTATGGAAATACAAACAACAATGGAACTGTTCATGTTCAATAAGCAAACACAACACATCGAGTAACACTAACAAATTGGGCTTTAGCAACTAATAGTATTGCCAAATGGTTTCTTAAGCCAACGCAATACTGCCGTAACTTGGGCGGGCTTCAAAATAAAGAGAAAAATGCACTTCAAAAGAAAAAGAAAGTACCTGGTACTGTTCCATCAGAAGGTGACCTGGAAGTTCCGGGTCGGACACAGCTTCAAACTGCATACAGAATGAAAAGAGTTCAAAACAGAATGAACTGCAGCTGCAGAACATGTTCATGATTTCTCTTGAATTCAATGTGACACTGCGGCATCTAGAATGCTAAAAAATCATGCGACTGATCATTGTCAAGATAAACACTATGATAGATTGTCTTTTTTTTTATATAATGTATGTTGTCAAAATTTTTAATCTGCAACACGGAGTCACTGACTGCCCTTAAGCATGTAGTCACTAGGTCAGTCATAAGAAGTTGTCATAAGCTCAGATAGCAATAGTATAGAACAATGGCTTTCGCAGTGACAGATCTGCAGCTTTACTTTACCTTGTCCACAATAGTACTTAACAATCTCACACCAATTGGACGCATGTTCTCAAACTGGATAGTGCTTATCTACGGTATGAAAGATGAGCAATAATTAGTAGTGTATGAGAAATTGGTATTTTCGCAATTCACTTGTAACTCCACAGAGATGTATTTTGCACCTGATAAGCGAGTGAAATTAGTTCTTGAAGATGGAGCACAAGCCAATCCACGTTGCACTGCTCATTATTTTGTCTCCTTGCCAAGGAGAGGTCAAAATGAGCAGTGTTCTTTCCCACGGCATCAGGTAGACGAATCAGGCATCTAGGTGAGAACGATATATTAATGAGCTAAATCAACTGAATGCAAACTTCTTCAATCAGGAAAAAGGAATCAAATACAACACATTAGGCTACAGTGAAAGAAAGGTTCACACTCTTAGATTTATGTTCATGTCTCAACAGTCAGTATCTCAAAGACTAACTTTTCAACAATACCACGAATGAATCATAGCCATAACTCATGAGATTTCTGCATCATTTTCTATAAAGCAGCTCAAAGTTTAGACACTAATAAAACAATACTAGATTCTGAGATAAAACCTGTAATCTACCACACAGATGAGTTAGAACCTTCACCTCAAGGAGTTGGCCTAGTGGTAATAGAGGATGAAAAACAACTAGCAAGAACTGCCAACATAAACTTTGGTCTTTATTTTCATGGCATGAACAAATAACCGTGCAAGAAAAATAACTGAGAATGGTTGAATAGACAGCAAATATACTCAGCCGCGAAGACTCTGGTCCGATATCTGAGCTGCTTGACTCTGTTGTGATTTACAGCCGAGGTTTCCGATTCATAACCAGGATCTGGTGTCCCTTTTGAGTTAGATACCATATCTTCGTCATCCTCTCCATAATTCAGCTTTGAATCGTTGTCTGGACCACTGAGCGAATTACTTCCCACGTGATTGCTTTCTGTATCCCTCATTGCTGAAGTAGAAAGAACCTGGGGGAGGTTTGTAAATGTCCAATTAGAACCAGTAAGTGACTTGTCAAAAAAGAACTGTTATGTGGCCTTCTCTTCCCATCAGCAAATGAGGTGATCATTTATTGACAACAATATCAAAGAGGCAGGCACTACATGACAGCATTCAAATAAAGCATTACCCTAACCTATCAGTGATCCTCTTCAGTTCTATAATGGTGCGCAAGGGCATAGAGCAAAATTATGCAGAATGACATACCACAATGCAGTCTATTCTTTCCATTGGAATAGCAAAATGCTGATAACAACAAAGAAGTTTGTACTCTTTCAATGATCTTTCTACTGAATTAGTAAAAAGCTGATAACAACAAAGAAACTGTTACTCTTTGTATGATTGCTTGTACAAGTAAGCAAGCAATTTTGTCCTTTTGCGATTGTCATATTTAGTGAATTTATACCCCCACAGAATATATGTATATCATGAACCAATGTGAATAGACACAAAGGAATATCCACACGAACATAGAGTTCCTTTCACAACACTAAGTTTGCTCTTTGTTTCTTTTCATTTCAGTTAATATATCTGTAGCTTCGAGCCTTCAACTGCAAGTGGCTAAATTTTTGGTGGGAGAGAAAAAGGATCAAATTGCCTGTATCTAAAGACAAAGGAAAAGAATGTTCTTTTTATCTCTTATGTGAAAGCTGGAGCTCAATGCCCTGTTAAATGGAACAATCTGTTATTCCTTCGGTTAAGGAGTATTTGCCTCTAAACTTAGAAATAACTTGGTTCAATTAAAATCATATTAAATTTTGAAATAACTATAATGAAATGGTTACATAATCATGATACAAACAATCCCATTCCAGATTCTTTTATACATGAAAAAAGAACAGGAAATCTTCAGACTTCAGATATCGATGTCGCGAAAGGTTCAATTCAATAATTATAGCATATTCTCGTGTTATATGGAGATTAAGTAAAATGAAAAGACATCCCTTTCACAGCACAGGTTAATTCTAGTCTGCCATAAAAAAAAAGGAGCTCACCATCTTACGACATACTGAAATCCAGTGAGATGGTTTTGAAGGACAGGAGGAATGGAGCAACCGCATTATAGTGGCACGTACCAGATTCCCAATCCTAAAATAAAGTTGACAAAAAACAACGAGTAACAATCAGAAACCACGCTCAGAAATAATTCTGCAACCGCTATTGACTTAGCTAAATCAAATTTGTATTGTATCCCAAACATCCACCACAATTAGGTTCAAACCTTGGGGCCAACAATCACCTACCTAAAAAAATTCCTACTCTATTCCCATAATGTAATTACCATAGTTCATGCATAATGACCCAGCAGAAAAAACAGTGGAGGGAGTGGGAGGAACATAAGTTTTGGTACCTCAGTTCTGTAATTTGCACTATAATAATCTAAACTATCTTTTAAGGCATATCTCCTGACCCCAAAACCCAAGACATACTACATGTATACTTGTCTATTTGGCTCCTGAAAATAAGTATTGGGGTCTGCTCTGACCCAGAATATCTCCTTTTGCTACCATAGCCAACAAGTTGGTCAGCTGTCAAGCAAAAGCAAATGATATCTAAGGGTAATTTTATTCATCTGGGGAAGAGCGAGCTATGACTTAGCATGAAAAGCATGACTTACCACCTCATCCTAGCGGCCTAGCACAGGCAGCAAAAACTAAAACGGAAGACTTATTGACACTGGAATAATAGAAGTTGATTATGCAGCAAATCTGAAGTGCAACTTTGAGTTTACTATAACTGAATGGAATTGATTCAATTGTCGGCATGGCCACATCATTGGTTGTCAGAAGAACCACTTGCCTTTATTTAATGGAAAGTATGCTATTGATTGCACATAAGCAGTAATCAATTCAAAGATAACATGAACGAGATGAAATAACATGATCAGTAAGTTAGAGGGAGTCCTAAATCTGACTTTGACAACGTGATACTGGTGCACAAACCCTCCTCAACCAACCAATGCATTCCCATTCTAAAACGCATGCCCGGGGCAGAATAAACATCCATTTTACCAAAAAGACACAGGAGTGGCAAGTTAGAAGAGAATAATAAGGAAGCCCTGACATAGTATTGCATACTTCCAATCTAGAGGTAACTTTTATTCTTCATCTAACTTGTGCCGTTTAATCTAGAAAACATTTCAGTGAAGATGATGCTTGGACAAACATCATTGTGCAGAAAATAGGGTTATGGTCACGTTGAACTTGGGTAACCATAAAAAGATGGTCCACATCTGCTCTCCATAAACAAAGGGTGAAAGTAGAAAGCAAACACCGACATTTAAAGTGAACATATTTAAGCCTGCTGTACTCATCAACAGAAACCACAAGGTCAGGATCTGTAATTTAAGTGATTAAAAGCTTTTAGCCATCCCTAATTGCAATAGTTTGAAACACAAGTCTTATACTTTCCATTTCAGCTATAACATCTCATAATCGGAAAATTAATCACTAATCTTGGGTCGTATAAAAAAAGAGATTTTTAAAGTGACTGGAAAGTGGATTCTTTAAGGGCACAAGACATCGCCTAAGTAATGACAGTTAAAATCAGTCTGTTCTTCTATTAGAACACAACGCATCAACAAAAAAGAAATGTCATGGATAACACATTGTAAGATTTCAGTCCAACACAAATACCAAAATGGTCATGGTTTATTCTGATGGAGATAATGACAAAACGCTGGGGGGGAAAAGTATAGGACAGTTCCTGAATTTGCACAATTCCTTTCAAATATGAGTGAGGATTGTCCTATTAAAACAAGCAGAACATGAAACTTATGCTCAATGGCTTATGCGACCAAATGCATAGTCTAGGTTGGAGATGAACTTATACCATGAAGACCAACCCAAATCAATGAAATTAGATGTACATCCTAAAGTTTCTAGTATTTTGTTTTCAAAACTGCAGCTAAGCAAACAGAAAATAAATAAAATCCTAATAGAAGTTACAACAAAGAACATAGATGAAATCAAAGTGAAAGTAGGACACCTAATTTACCAGAAGAACCTAAATGAGGCACCAGAGGGAAGACTACACCTTTTAATGTAAGGTGACATGTGATAACTATTAACTTACTCAGAATCAGTTTCCTCATCCAGCATGTGAAATAACTTATCTTCTATCTGCTCATCAATAATTGAAACCTGTGACAAATACAATCCACTAAGAATCCTATTCATGAAGACAGACTCATTAAAGTCAACTAAGAGAGACAAACAGCAAATAGGTTCAAACTGTTGATCACTCACTGGGTCCTTCTCAATGAGATGTCTTAGGGTTGAAACAGCAACATGCCTTAAGGTGGGCTGCTTCCAAACAAACACGAATTAGAAAAAAGCAAAAAGTAAAGAGAGAAATGAACAGAACTTTCTGAAGAGAACCCATCATCAAGGAAGCAGACCTGTCTTGAGGACAGAGTCGATAGAAGAGTTTGCACATGGGAGTGCACAGAAACAGCTCGTGGGGCAAACAGAACAAGTTGTTGAGTGAACCTGACACTCCTGTAAAATATACAACAAATGTTGGAAGAACAATTTAAACAGAACAAAAGACTTGTTTCCCAACTATAATTAGTGTTCGACTTCTGAATGTAAAGCAGAAGAACTTTCCAATTGCAAATAAAATAAGCACCAAATAGGAATAATAGAAATAGTTGGCTTGCATACTCAAGTAGCGTTGCCGTCTCGTGCCAGGAGCTTATCTCTGCAATGACAGACTGAGAGCAGAAGTTTACATGAGTTTCACTACTATGACTGAATAACTCAAAAGAAGAAAGTAATGGTGGGCTACAATAGAGAGTTGAGAAGGTAACAAGAAATGTTTATTCCAAACAGGCCATGGTGCAAACGCATTGTATCTAGTTTTATACAGGGTTCATCTGACTTCCCACCATTGTAGACCAAAGGTGTGTTAAAGTCTCTACAAACTCCAGGAGGTCCTAATAAAATGTGAGGACAACGTTTCAGGAGCCACTAAGAGCTCCTGCTACAGGGCTATTACCAAGACATGATGTTCCATAGTGAACCTTAACAGTAGGTCCTACCTCACCAATAATCGCAGCACATGTTAGAAAGACTCTAGGTTATAGCCCAAAAGTTATAAATGGCATGTAAGAGCAAGCTGGGACTTAGCATAATCAGTGTAGACTATGAACACGTTCCTCTTCGTATCCCAATCAATGGGAGAAAACACCCTTACTGAAGGTGTGTTGAACAGATGGGGCCATTACAACTTCGGCAACTTTGTAAACATGGAGAACATTAATAGCAATACGACTAACAATTTGTTTACAAGGATAGCAAGATTTTCCCAGTTTTTTGGATGTACTAGGTTTCTCCAGGCCTTTTTTGAAGGTCCACAATTAGGTTTTCAACGCATCGCATCAGAACCTTATGAGCAACGGGACTAACGCTTTCAACATCCTTCTACCAAGATCGACTCTTGTGCATAAATCTTTACAAATATAAAAAAGAAGAAAAAACATAAACTAAATTCTTAGATAGTAGAAAACAATACCTTGCAGCGTGAAAAGAAAATGCTGCCAGGGGCAAGCTCGGGACCAAGAACAGCAACAATCGCATTGATAAGGCGAGCAACTCCCTGTTGAAGGTCAACCAATCCATTTTCTTCAGATAAGAGAATATCCGTAGCAAGGCCAAGTGTAGCCTGAATAACATTATCAGAAAGGATAAAGGTTAAACACAAGGCGGATTATTCGTTATGCACATCTACAATATGGCCCTAAATAAATAAAACAAAATAGCATAAGCACAACAACAATCATGCACCAACCCTGGTTGGATAGCAATGCAGATCTTTTCTTAGCAATGCCACTTTAAGTAGGAGAAATCACAGGCAGAAGGAAACCAAGACTTAAGGAACTACTCATGAGTTCATAATAACCTCATGCAAATAAACCTGCCAACACTCCATTGCAGTGGAAAGAGAATTTATTATAGCTTGCATACAGCTAGCCAGTAACCTTTCAGATCACTGATATTCATGTTATATATCATCTCATATACTCCAATAAACCTACGATTCATTTTGACAACAACAAAATTTAGGAAAAGCAAAATTTTGAAAGTCTAGAAGTGCAATAATCTTCCATGAATCACCACCTGGACATGAGATACATATGAGAATCCTGCATCCTCAATGGTCAAAAGAAGTCCGTGTAGAGACCAAATCTGCAATCCAGTGATAGGACTTTTCGCTAATGTTGACAATGAGTTCACTGTTGGTGGCACTAAAGTAGACAATGCCATCCCTCCTGCACTGCAAGCATCAAATGTACATCGATAACATCAAACATTAAAGTGGTTCCCTAAGCCCTCATAAACAAGTATCATATAAAGAAGCTGAAGTTGGTTGTGTTGCACCAAGATATGACAAGTGTATTAAGCAGCCAAGGCGAACAAAACAACTGAAATCTGCCAATTCACCTGCGATGGATACAGCCAAGAGCGAAAGCCATTGATCCAGCATAGTTTGAATCTGTAGCCACTGCCAGTTCGCTAAGAAGTGACCTAGTCTGTTTAAGATCACAAGAGCAACAGCAAGAGCTAAGACCAATGGATGAAAGCCATACCTATGCTCAAGATTTTAGAGCATTAAGGACCTGGATTTTAGAAGCCTTCGTCTCTACAAGTCATGATGAGGAACTCACCATTTTGGCAGTGAAAATGTCGTTTCCAAGGCGAGCTAAAAGACCAAGACCCTCTGCTGATGCTCTGCGCTGGGATGCACAGATGTCCCCTTCTGCCAGAATACTCTGTAATTACAGTATTAAGAAGAGAAGGTACAGGATAGCACAAGCTAGGTTGGCAGTTAAGTCAAGGCCTGGCATTCTACAACAACTTCAATACCTGAAAAATGCCATGCGCTAGACTTAAGATCCCAAGTGCCAACGGTCGAGGACGTAAAGCAATCAAACCCTGAAGATAGCATCAAATCATCACTATGAAGCTAATGACTTCATAAATAGCATTAAGCTTATTGGCACACTATTTTGTACCTTCAGTCCAGAAAGAAGCCCCACACATATATTGCTCAAACTGGCTGAATGCCATATCTGCTTTTTCCCTGCTTTTAGACACTGCTCGATCATTTGAAGAAATGATACCATCCCATTAGTATCCTGAGAGGAAACACTGCCATATTAGAAACAACCACCCATTTCAGTCATAAAGAACCTGTTAAGACATGCAAACAGATTATCATAAAACCTACCTGAGTGGCAAATATGAGCCCAAAGCAGAGTAGCATCTGGTTGACCAACATCTTGTTTATTGTTTCAGGCTTCAAGAAAATTGTTATCAAACTCAGTATCAGAGAAAATGAACAGCACAACCAACCTACCTCTAAAGCCAGGAAGGATAAGGCAAACTCAAAAAGAAACACACAGATGCACACACGTGCACATGTCGTCAGATGTATTTCAGAGCAGGATTAGCAGTATCACTCAATCATGAAAGGCAGTCGCTTAGCAGCAATGGCTGCTAGGTAGACAAGAAAATAAAGTACAAAGAAGATGCAATAATAATGGAAATTAAAAACCCTTATGCAAGTGCTCTTTCTTTATTTGAGTGATCAAAGTTCAAATCTCAAAAACCCTTATGCACAGCGCCGTTATGTCAGAGTACCAGGTATAACACTTCTCATATGACCTAATCCACAGAGGAACAAGAAGAAACTAAGGACCTTCAACACAAATACATAAATGCAAGCACTGATGCTGGTGTGGACGATGGTAGTCAACTAAGGTCATAAAAATATCATTACGATAACGCCAGGTGTAATGTTGCCCAACTGTGAAGTCTTTTCAGGAATAAAAAAACAATTTTATATTCAAACGTTAAAAGCTTTTCTTTTCACTGCATAGAATGACAACAGGTTTATGATAGCAGCAGCTGACCAACCTACGCCATTGAGGAAACTTAACTGGCAACTGACAAAAGCATTTGCAATCTAGTAAAAGCTTACCTGAGGAAAACTGGAAAGTTCACTTTCCCATACACAAGGAACAAGGCCATCTTGGCCGCCTTGAAAAGCACGTAATTCATCCTCCAACCAATCCCTGATAAGTGCCCAGACAAAGGTTGGTTTAAGAACAATTTATAGAGGAACTTGTCCAACACAACCTTAATTCCTAGCGGCCAAGGACCACCAAGTGGCTCAATGGTTAAGGAGCATTATGCCAGGCCAAGGTCAAATGCCAAGGGAAAAGGAATAAGTTTATTAAGAAAGCGTTAAATGCATGGCAAAGATAACAGAAGGAAAACAAGGCACCTTGCAGGAATCCAAGGTCCCAGCCACGCATCCCTCTTGTCCAATAGCAACCTTAAGCAGGAGTTTTCCTGGCATCTAGATGCCTCTCTTTAAGACACACAAATGGATGGTATGAGAATGAAAGAGCCCGCTAAACCAGTAAACCATAAAGAAAAGAACATAGAACAAATGAGCCAAAGACAAACAAGACCTTCTTTCGTCAACGGTCGCAGAGAATTACCTAAATGGAATGGTACACAGTTGCATAATCTGAGGATGGTCCCTCTTATATGTCATTGGGTCAGGAAGGGATTGATAAGCCATTAAAGTTCTGATAATGAATACGTCCACTGCTGGTTTAATCTTTGATGGGTCTTTTCTTTGTAGCACCGATATGTAAGACAGAGCACTGATTCCACATTTAAGTCCAACCAGTTAGTAGATGACACAAAGCACTTCTCACCAATTTAAAAACTGGAACTCTTAAATGTTACCCATACCTACTAAGGTAAACCAAAACTGGCTGCAGCATAATACTATTGTCAACGCTACTGGAAGTTATGAAACATCTTACAAATGCTGCAAGCGCATCAACAGCAGCAGACCACACACTACAAAAGTCAGAAGAAACCAGGCAATGAAAATGCAAATAGCCTGATGATATTATATGATATAATTATGGAACTCGCTACAAGTAATAAAAAAGTAACAACTTCATCAATGCACAAACAATGAAAACAGTTCATTAATCTCCATGCTGTCATTTAGGCAAACAGTGCAAAGACAAATGGAAGAAAAAAATATATTCAGGCACTTTTTTGTGACAAGGCCAATGGCGTCATCAATTTATATTATAGATAGGGGATAGCTAAGTCATAACTCTTTCACCGAATATTCCTAATTCCAAGTGCATTGCTAGGTGTACGGTATATGGTTGATTGATAAGACATAAGTCCTCCACAATAAGTGCTTGTAAATGTCCCTCATGAACAAAAGATTATGTTTCAAGTTAAATGCTCACCAGATCCTAGATGTCAAATCTCCTCCCTGCTTTGTTTCATGCTCAGGACTTTTGCTAAAGAGAGTAGCCCATAGAGAAAGAATATCAAATACCTGATCTTCAAGTTCCTGAATGCAAATCATAGTACCATAAATGAGCATATTAGTGCTTATGACCGATTCATACAGATCACAGGTGAAAGTCATACCTCCTTTGGCATGGAAGACAAAAGTGATGACAGAAGCAACCAACCAGCCTCATTCACAGCAGTCGCAGCAGTAGGATTCCGACTAGATCCGGTCAGCATTCTTTTGGACACTTCAAACACTGACTTGGACAATCTGAAATCAGAGCAAGGCAAAATATTGTAATAGTAAGATCAAGGAAGATCACCAAAATAGTGACGATGACTCTCAAAAGCAAACGAAAGACAAGCCATATACAGTCAAACTTCAAGAATCCACAAAATATGTCACTAAAGAAACAAGGTTATTTATGCTCTTCACAACGAAACCATTCGAAACAAACTTGACCATGGTCAAATATTTTCAATCACTCTCCATGGAAACACATTGAGAAGATGATTAAAGGCATATTGATCAGATAGATCTTGTATGAAAGATTCTGCTACAGATGGAAAGCTTTAACACCAACACCCCCCCCCCCCCCCCCCAACACACAAAACACACACACAAAATGTGTGTGAGAGGAGGACAGAGAGAATGCCCCTGAAGCCAAGTGTTACAGTTTTAAAATTTCAAGGAACTCAATCAGGATCCAGAAAACAATATACCTTCCACACAAACAAATGAAATGCACACGATCCCCCATTTTAAGGCTGTAAGTAACAAGACATCTGAATAACATAAGATTACACCAACTATAACACACTAAAGATACAGAACTCCCTTTACCTTGCCGGATAACCGAGAGGTAACTTTGGTGATACAGCAACTAGAGCCGCCAAAACAGTAGCTTGTCCATGCAAAGAATCAAGCTCAACTTTCACAGTGGCTCCCTGAACAAGTACACTGGAATTTGTTAATAAAGAGAATCCATAAGTGAACAAAAAAAGAAGCTTTAGAGAGATTTCAAAAAGGACTACACCTTTCCAAATAAAACACTTTCCCTCAAGGCACTTAGTGTGGTCACCCCATAAGAAACCAAACCACCCACACATGTAGGATCAACCTCAGCCAACACACGCAATGTCAAAGCAGCCTCAACTCGCACCTATCATCAACAGAAGGATCCATGAAGGCAGCAAATGGAAATAAATTAGAGAATCAACAAAACCAAATCAAAGATGTTGAAAACCCATCTATAGCTGGAGCCTGGAGGTACTTACAAGTTGCAAAGGGTGAGATACTGCAGCGACAAGTGCATCATCAAAAACTTCTTTAAACTCAATGGGTACCTGTATAGAGCAATAATAAGCACACATTGGTGCATAGGGCACGCCAACATCTACATTCATCATTTTCAACCTTTATGGTAGTAAACACAACAATTCCTTCCCTTCACGCCCTAGCTTGACATTTTTATTGTCAACAAACCAGGCACTAGGAGTTATGCATCCCAATATCAATCCAGAGTAGTTGTTAATTTCAGTCAACAGGTGGATGAAAAGAATGATTCTGATCAAACTAGAGGCTGCATGCAAAAAATTAATATCCATTGCCAATCAATGATCTTACAAAGAAGAATCATGAATGAAAAATCCATTTTATTTGGAAGACAAAGCATAACTAACACTCCAAACCCATGCATTCTGATTTAGAAACAATAAGAATATCGAGCGCCAAGCTAAAACAAATTGCTAAGCATTGCAGGGCAGAGAAATGAACCGTAGTGCTCGTGCATGTCAGCATATACATGGAAAACCTGGGGCATGTGAGTACTTGGCTCTATGTATGGTGTGGGTGGGCATATAGTTAGTTTCGTGGCCTACCTCACCCAACGTTTTCAAAGTGTACGACATGGTACGCAAAGCGGCAATTTTCATCGAAGGACTGGCACCAGAAGACCTGAGCTGCAAATTCCACGAGACTAAATAAAATGAGGGACCAGTTCCTGGAATCGTATACCTAACTAAAACTCCATTACACACCTGTTTTCCTAGGAAAACCAAGAACCCCCTCTGAGTTGGTTCTGTCATCTGATCAGTCACCCCAATTCGCAGGACATAGAGCACACATGCCTTCAAAACACCCAGACACCAAATAGTCAGTAACTCAATCAGGCTTCAGTGTTGGTCATTTCATATTAGAGGCAAATTAAGTTAATTATAATGCTTATTTCAGTCATTTGACATCTGCTGACCACATCGAAGCACTCTGAGGTTGCCTCAGGAATATCAAATGAACTAAATACCAGATAAAATCTATAAGCTTAATCAGATAAACAGATCAGCTGCATAAATCATCAGCCATTCATTAATTTCCGGGACTATCTCATCCCACTTTGTCTCGTGAACCTTATCCTTCTTCCTAATTGAGTAGCCTTCAAACCGAACTTGAATGTAATGGATTAAAACTAAAGCATACATCAAGCTGTGTTAAGTTTTGATAATAGCTCTTTAAAGAAAGCATCACATTATTGGACAAATATGAACACCAATGCTTGGGAACATCACAGCTTGACAGATATATACCAACGCATGGGCATCAACTGAACTAGCATTGCGAAGCATTTCCATAACCCTCAGCCCATATTTTTGGAGATCGCTATCCGGATACAAATACTTCAGACGTATCACCTGTAAGGGAAGAAAACATTTCTTAATCATTCAGCATAGGTCACTTCAAAAGCTTCACCACTAATGCATAAAACAAAACACTTGGCATCAGAACAAACTCATATGAATAAGCATGGTCCACTTGAAAAGCCCGTCACTCAGCGCAAAAAAAAAAATGCTTCCCTTAAGAAGTAATCAGATATTTAACTCAATATTTTAAGAAAATGCTGTTGGTTGACTTTGCCACAGACAGTTCCGAATTGATAAATGATCTCCAGAGAGAAATATCGGCAGAAAGCAAAGGACATTCAAAATCAACAAAGAGACAGAGGCCAAGTTCGAAATAAGATACTCTGTCGGTAGTCAAACACTGAATTCAATCCAACAGCATCAGATCAGCCAGTATTACATCAAAATGAAATTAGACTTCCCCAACAATGTGTACACCTGTGACTAGTTTTCTATCATTTTTATCTTTCCCCATCAAATAAACTATTGTTCTCTCCTCTGCATCAGCAACCAAAAGAAATGTTGTAGTAGTGCCAATTACAATTGCACTTTCAAAGGGAACATCATTATTAGCCCCGCATTTGTCATCCAGTTAATTTATGGAACCTTAAAACTCACACTGAAATGTCATAGCTTTTAACGAAAGATATTCCAAGTTCACTTCCAAATAGACAAGAGAAATATTTCAAATAGAGAGACTGGTAATAGATTAAGTAAACAGAAAAATCCAGAATACAGCTGATGCACATGAAGCAATTAAAAAAGACCTTTAAGTCAATCAGAAAGTATCAGCAGAAAAACAATAGGGCAATTGCTCCATACAGTGGCTACCATGTAATAGATATCGAAGAAACAGGACTCGAAGAATGAAAGGCAGAACAAGGTTCATTGTTGACAGGGTATCGTAAATGTTTACCTGCAAAAAGGATACCCAGGATAAAGTGACACCAATCCGCACATCCTTCAAACGAGCTCCACCAGCTGCATTTTGGGTCCATATCGTCCCATGAATTAGTTTAGTAAATTCGAGGAAGGATTCTTTTGTACAGAATCAAGTCAATCTTCAGAAATTTCATCGTATCATAAATGAGAAATACTTATACAAAAAAATGAAGTGATTGTGAGAGTGAAAAGAACGTCATTTCAAATTAAAGATCATTATTGCAGTTTAAAAGAAATCAAAACCGGATGACCTGCAAGTCTAGTGCTAAGACAAAGTACTTAAACTATAGAAGTAGAACGTCTTCTGTAATCCCAAATCAACAGCCCCATTATAGTTTCACTTAGCAATTTCAGATAAAAATATTAGAGAATAAACCTACAAATTCTCTCTTTCATTTTCTCCATATAAAAAAATAATGATAATAATAAGTCAAAAAATTGATTACTTCTATATTTCTGGTTCTTTAACACATGGGTTGTATTATTTACTCATGTGTATAGTTAAGCTAGGGGTGGGCAACGGGAAACGGGTATTTGGGAATACCCGTACCCGTCTCGTTTTTTAAGGGTTACGGGTACCCATATTACCCGTAATATTATAAACGGGTGGGACTTGGGATTGTACATTTCTAATATGGGTACCCGCGGGTTACCCGCGAATACCCGTTTGGGTAATATGGGTACCCGTTATACCCATTCAATACAAAGGCAGCCCAACCCAATTCAGAACCTATTGGCCATTTCGGCCCTCACCCTTGCAATTTCAATTCCATTTGCCATTTGGGCCCAGGGTCCTTACCCTTTCAGTGAGACTCAGCTTCTCTGCTATAGATTTTAGCTTCCCATGAACCTAAAAATTTGGACACTTTCTGCATTCAGCAACACAAGAAAAGTAGCAGCATGCCTCCCATTTGGTTGTGTTGAATGAAACTTCTTATTTGATAATTTGGTGCTTGGAATGATTTATTTCTTTGTGTTGTGATTGTTCATGAATGTGTTATTTACAAACCGAGTATTTGTGATTGGGATGTATTTTATGTCTTGTGATTGTTAAACAAAACTTTTGTTAAAATTTTAGTGGTTTAAACTTTGGATATTTATGGGTAGTATGGGTACCCGTTATCCGTCCCGTACGGGAAATGGGTACCCGTTTCCCATATGGGATGGACTTTGGTCTCCAAACGGGATTGGGTACCCGTTTAATACGGGACGGGTATCCCGTCCCGTCCCGTTGCCCACCCCTAAGTTAAGCTTTGAGGGGCTACATGACTAGAAACTGAGGTGGACCCTTAGAGAAACTTGAGTGGATTGTTACAGAGAAAACCCATTGAAGAGTTTTAAGATGGAGTGGGTGCCTAGGTATCTCTTTCTTTTCTCTATTGTTTGCTTTCCTTTTCCTTTTTAACCATTGATGCTTGGAAAATAAGACGAACAAAAGATGTTGGAAGAAGTTATGAAAACCATTAGAAGATTCTCCCATTGGGATGTTGGTTGGCTCCCTGTTTGGGATGAGCAGTTCATTCTACTGACACAGACATTCAGTGTCTATCAGGAAACCCACAAATGGAAATTCTCATTACAATTCAATACTAACTATAAGGAGGAGAGGAAAAAGAAAGAAATGTTCTATTACTGGTATGAAAAGACAACTTAAACAATCACAACAGAGGTTCTGAAACTCTGGTACAGCCTATGGAATTCAGTTCCCAAAATGAGATCTACAACGACTAAACGGAGCTCAAAACCTCCAAATTTGCAAACTTGATCACATTTAATAGTAATGAGAGAAAGAAAACTCTAGTATCAAGCTAAGTAAAATTGAATTAACAAGATAATGAAAGCAGAAAAAGACATAAAAGATTTAGTGAATACCTTTCGTGAAGGGCACAGCCAAATGCCTTTGCAGACATCCTTCTAGCTTTTTTGCAGGGGGGGAAGGACCTTTACCCTTGGGTTGAACCTAGCATGACGAAAGTGAGAAGAAAGAGGATGGAAAGAAAAGGGGGGGGGGGGGGGGGGAGGAGGAGACCAGGACCTGGAAAAAAGAATCACTAGACAAAGATACCTGTGCTTGAGGATTCATTCCAAGAGCAAGCAGGGAACCCAAAGCATCAGCAAACGCATCCCTGACAGACGATACAGGATCCTCAAGAGCCTATAAAATGCAATAATAAATAACTTCCTTTTTCCTCTTTTTCTAAACAGCAGATAAAATTGATCAGGAAATACATGAGAACAAAGAGAAAGCAAATGACCCAGAAGAAAAACCTGCCTTAACACAATAAGATGCGGAACTCTCAAGTTCTCCAGCTCCTAAACCAGGACCTCCAATGCTCGCAAACGCCTTCAGACAGCGAGCCGCAGCAACTCTGACTATAAATGACTTATCTGTAATGCCAAAGCGTGTGATAACACGGTATGCTTCAGTATATGCTGAAGCCATTGCGCTACCACCTGATCCTTCCAAAGCTTTTTGAAGCATAAGGAGAGCCTCTTGTCTCACGAACTCCTGATATATTATATGTGGAAGCACATCAAATGAGAGAACCAAAATTAAATGAAAACAACCCTAATAAATCCCATTAACAGCTCTTCAATTTCTTGTTTCACTTTCATTTCTGAACAGTAGAAACATTTATATTATAGAAAAGCAAGATGAGGATCAAGCATGACTCAGGGGACGCTCTAAGATGTTCAGTAAAGAAAAAGTAAAAGGAACTGAAGGAATGAGAAACGGATCCAGAAAGCTAAGATAAAGGCTTTTACCGAACACCTGAATGAAGCAAACATTCATGATGGCGCAATGAACTGGATCCTTTGTCCATGAAGTGTTAAAATTCAACGAAATATATAAAATTCAAGCAAACGTAGTAATAGACAGCCTATTTTACTTCACAACATCAGTCCTGCATTCATTAAAAATCTTTATATATGTGGTAAAGTTTGGCGTACTCCTGGAGTGTAGTCAACTCCAAGTGATCTAGCCATTCAGCGTACTCTGATGAACTTCGACCAATCAGAAACATCAATTATTTTTGTGATTGAACTGATCTAGTGGTTTGGAATTAGGTCTAAAGTTCACGAAATAGATGTTCGGGTATAATATCATACCCCGAACTCTTATTTATTCATGGTCTAGATAGTGTCATCTAGCTAGGATCACTAGGAGGAACGTGTATCTCAAGGAATACAGTATATATAATAAAAAAAAGGGACATTGCTATCTCTCAAGCACCCACCATATGCTATGACTCCCTAAACTGGAAGGAATTGAAAACTAAAAGTAAAATAAAAAATCGAATCAAAAACTGTAAATTAAAATAACACCTTTTCAGCCTTAATTATGAATACTGAAAAGTTGAAAACTGGTCTACTTCCTTAGCTGTAAACTAGAAACCAGTTAGTGAATTAACAATACCTTATCTTGAATATTTTTTTACGTAAAATGAATACTTGACTCCAATAATTTTATTCGCACACTAGTCCCTATTCATTCATTTTCTTCTCATTTTGTATATCTTTGTCATGAAAGAAAAAGTTAATTGTTTTAACATGAACAGCAGATATTAAAAACAAAAAATACTTTTTGCAGCAAACTTTATATCACCAATAGGCAAACAATAGTATAAGAGGGATAGGAGTGGAATTGGCAGAGTTCACAGAAAACTTAGGCCAAAATATATAACTAAAAGAAAAGCTTTTCGGTGTTGGACTAGAGCTCGGGATTCTAGATTAAATATTGGACATTAGCATGACAAAGTGGCTTATATCTACACACCTCTGGTTCTGAAAAGTCAGCAAGTGCTTCATGGCGTTATTTTCCAATACTTGAGTGAGATAGAAACCAAACACATTGCCAAACTTTAGATGGTGGAAGTCCAAGTGGATACCAAACTGGGTCTGATGTCCTAAAAGTATGTCCTAAAACGAACTCCAAAATACTGGGGTCATCTAAGGAAATACCATCTTCGATTTTCTCTTCTTACTGCATATCCCAGCCACAAAAATTTATACAGCACATCGGAATAGATATGTCAAATATAAGCTATAAGTGGATGAATTGCATATTACTTGCAATTACCTCACTATACTTCATCAGTTTGGTCGCAATTGATGTTGTTTCAAGCACGCCTGAAGTAATTTTTCTTCCAAAACGCCGATATAGTTCTCCCAAGCATTGTGCAGCCCCTGCAAGTATTTGGGAAGCGATAAATGGAAGAGAAACTTGCAGAGTGTTAATAAGTAAACAACTGAAGCACAAACCAGAATTTACAGGATCGCAGATGTTTGGAGAAAACATTCTAACACCATAGAGAAGAATCAAGAATGATAATCAACATCAAATAAGGTGCCAAGCTACAAGTGGTACATCTCCAAACTATAATGGCTTCATATGTCCTCACAATAATTTTTGACCAGGAAACAAGATATAATTTCAGACAAATCTATAATTGCATTAGCAGTATTTCAATACAGTCGCATAATACTAAACCAACACATATGTGAGGAACAGAAAGAGTAGGGAATATGATGTATCGCAACCAACCAGCAACTTTCAGAGGTTCATTCTTCTTTCCATCAACAAGAAACCCTTGGAGACTACTTGCTCTTGAGTATATCGAGATACTATCTCCTTTAGATATTATATTTGCCATGGCTACTGACGCCAAATGCCGAACAGGTCGTCTTGCCCCCAGAGCAAGTAATGCGTATAATGCATCCTCGCATTTTCTTTGCCATAGAAGGATCGAATCCTGAAATCAACGACTCTGACATTAAGCTGCAAGCATGTTTGCAACACAAACCCCAAGAACAATACACTAAACCATCATCAGCTGTTCACACTACCTCAGTGAAAATCAAATGATTCTACACTACATAAATGTAAAGTCCTTTCCATAAAAACAAATAAATGGGAAGTCCTGCAGAGGATAACTGAACCAATTCATCCAAAAAAGAACAGTGAAATCATCCAGTAAGCAGCATCTTGAAGAGCCATTCAAGTTGGCAGGGCCACAATTAACTTCGAATTAAGATGGATTTCGCTTTACCGTTCAGGAGCGAGGCAACCGAATAAAAATGAAGGAAAGAAAAGGAAGGCAGAAGTACCTTGGGCTCCTCATCTATGGCGGAAATGAGATCGGAGAGCAGATCGAAGCAGAGGAGAGGCTCGGGGATTTTCTGCGATGCGGAAGCGACCAGCGATTCCAACTGCGCCACTAACACACCGAAGTGGGAGAGTGGTATGTTCTCCCTCGCATAGTTCTTCGCCATTGAAGAGCTACTTCACAGTGCCAAAGAGATGGAGCAAAGACGAGAGTACTCAATGACTCATCTGAATAACTTTTTATCGACAATCACAACTTTTGCCAAGGTTTGAATAAATCATGAGTTTGGATCTTTGACTTGTATTTTTATTGTAACTAGCTTTATCTCTGGCCTGTTGGCCGGGAGAGTTGAGAAGTGACTAGTGAGTGGGTTAAGAAGAAGTAGGATGCCGGGAGAGAATCTGGAGGTGTAGGAAATATGAAAGAGAACTGTAGGGTGTACGCGAGGAAGAGGAGAACCCGACGCCGGTAGCGGAAACTAGTGATTTTGTTAAATTTTGGGGAAACAATGGGTAATTACCATAAATAGTCACGTAATTTGTCACTTAGTACAAAATGGTCACTAAATTTCATTTTTACACGTTTTAGTAAAACATCTTTGTACAAATATCAAAACGGTCATTCCATCCAAAAACCCGTCATTGAAGTCCAGTCAACAAGGTTGTTAAACCGCGGATCAACCCGGATTAACTCGGCCCCGGTGGTATAAACGGGTTCCAAACAGCCAATGGAGGGTTAGCCCGTTTAGGTTAATGCCCTGTTCACTTGTCATTTTGTTTTTTGTTTTTTGTTGTGACAATAAAAATCAGGAAACAAATAACAAAAAAACGTGTTCACTTGTAGTTTCGTTTTTGTTTGAGAAAACGGTGGGACAATATTGAGAAAGCTGGGAGAAAACGATAAAAAGAGGTTTCCTGAAAATTGAGGGAAGGGTTTCCCCCCGATTCCAGAGGGAAAATGACACTGTTGTTAAATGAGATCCCCTGTTCGAATCCGCCCAACCCCTTTTTCTCATTTTTCTTTTGCTAGACCCAAACGCAGCTCTTAGGGTTGTATATCTCTACAGCCGATCTTCCCTTCATTCTCCAGCAAACGAGCAGTCCTTCCTCTCTTCTTCCTCTCCCCGCCGCCGAACACGAAGAAGACCCGACCAATCTTCTTCCTCTTCCCGCCAGTCGCCAAACGCGAAAATGACCCAAAAAGTCTGGTGCGAAGATTCTCTCTCTTCCCGCGGCGCACGTCAAGGCCTTCAATGCTCTCGGGGAGAAGGAGAAACGATTCCAGATCCAGGACGACAATTTCATCGGCAGCGACAGTTCCTTGAAGCATTCCTACACCATCATCCTCACAAGTTCGTTAAAATCTCTAAAGACAACCAATGGTGACCTCGCGGACGGCGCTATTGGAAGGGAAAGCGGAGAAGTTGGGGCGGGCGACGACGACGACGGTGGGGCCGGCGGTGGCGGTTGCAGGGGAGTAATCGAAGGTGCTGAGGAGGAGTTGGTTCGGGGAGAGGGAGAGGAAGATGGAGAGCGAGACGAAGAGGAAGAGGCAGAGCAGGAGGAAGGCGCAGCGGCCGCGCGTGTGGTGGTTTCGAAGAGGCGGGAGCTGGCGGCGGGGACGGGAAGGACCAATAGAAAATATTAATTAGGAAATTAGTAATTAATTAAGGAGTGTTTTTATGAAAAAAAAATATTTTTCCTAATACTTTCGATAAACTTTGAGTGAATGAGTGTGTTTGAATTTGATATATAACAAGCAATTTATGTGTCCTTTTATATATGGAGAATCCAACGCATTTAATAAATACTTTATTAGGGGTAGAAAAGAGCTAACAACTTTTTAATTATTATTATTCATCTCTACGCAATGTTATCGAGCGTTGTTTTGGAGTTTTGAAGGCTAGATTCCCATTTTGAAGCATATGCCTCCTTTCGAATTAAAAATTATAATCATGGCTAGGGTTGTATGATAATCAAGAATCAGAAAACAGAATGAAGCAACTAAACAGGTTTTCATTTTCAGAACTCAGTTTCAGAACTCACCAAAATTCTCAGCTAAACAAGGTTTTTTCAGGTTTTGTTTTCCAGGAAATGACAGCTTCGTTTTCATTTTAATTTTGTTTTCTGTTGTGGCAGCTAACAGAAATGGAATGACAAGTAAACGGCCCATAAGCCCGCCTTGATCCAGTCAAAACCTGGCAAACCCAGGCGGTTGGCCCGACACCACGGGTACCGGGTGGGAGATGACCACATCGTCTTTTCTTCCTTTCTGCTGAGATTTAGCGTCGCGCAGGTGGCCGACGGCCTTGTCTTTTCCCCTTCCCCGGTTCCGCTAACCCTATTATTTTCCTTCATCCTTCTCGCAGAGTTTCACCCCAAGCAGCAGAGTTGCTCCGGCTGCCCTTCTGCCTCCTTTCGTCTTCCACGCCGGCGGCAGCTTCCGCCTTCTTCCTTCTCCCACACCGACGACGCCATCCAAACTCTCACCCGTCGTGGGGCATGGTCGTCATTCAATTGCCTCTCCATCCTTCTCGCATAGCCGCTCCTGGTAGCCAATCGCCGCCATGAGGTGTGGTCGTCAATCAATTGCCTAGAGAGAGGTTTTCAGTGTGTTCAATTGATAAATATATCATTATGAATTTATGATTGATAGTTATGCATGTTAAATCTGATGGTAGATTCAATGATGCCCTGGTGTTGCGCGCTGCTGTTTGTGTTGCTCTGCTACAATCGGTGACTTGGGAAAGGATCTCCTACTCAGACACTATCCATATCGTCAACGACGACTACGTTTTATCATTTTGGTGTTCATTGCATATACATACTATATGTGTTATGTTTGAGGGGGAGAGGAAAAGGACAATGAATGGCTTGTCACATAGATGAAGTTTCAGCTCGGCAAATCTGCCACTCTGTCTCCATCTGAACCCTCTACCTCCCACTACCTCTCCTCACGGTAAGGTTTTGAACTCTGCCTTTCTCCACTTGTACAAATGGTAGTGGATGAGAAATTAAACATCTGTATTAGCAATTTAAAAACATTGTACTGGTTTCCATTGAGATAACCACCAATTAGCTAACCTTGTAGCTAGATATCTGCTATTCCGTAAAAATTGCCTTTCATGATTTTGTTTTAATGTGAATTTTAAGCATGACTTGTGCACAATATAATGAATGTTTCTATATATCCGGGCTAATCCGGGCCAAACCGGGTTGACAACCTTGCCAGTCAGCTTGACACGTCACCCCAAAAAATAAAATAAAAATAGACACATCAGACCAACCTAACCAACCGACCTAACCCCAACCCACCCGAAGTCAATGTGGGGACTAGGGCTGGCGAAGACAGACAGTCGCCATCGTTTCTCTTTTTAGATAAAGGGCAATTCCTCTCCAACCCGACTGCTTTCATCGCTCATTGTTGTCTCCCTTCACTAGAGACCTGCAAACTCACACCTCCCCATAACAATCTCCTCCTGCCTCTTCCGAAAGCTTCCTCCCCCACCCAAAACCTTTGTCTTATGGTCCGACGAAAAGAGCCCGCAAAATCGCACCATCTGAAAGGGAAAGATGGACAATTCATGGAATGGCAGCAGTTTGATAAGAACAATATATATGTCGTGTAGTTATGAACTTGGAGAAAAATCTGTTTGGTTGGCAATTGGGTTGGATCCAATGGTTCTTAGATCCCCAATTTTGGTATTGGCTCTAATTACAAAAGAAGTCACTCCCAGTGAGAGGACTGTTTTTGGAATTGGAATACTAAAAAGGGTTTGCCTTTTTCCTTATCAGGAGATGGAAAAGGTGAGGAATTGAAGGGTGGGAGGTTTCTTCTTCTCGATTGATTCTTCTTTCATTCTAGCCGCCCTAGTCTAAACTTGGAACTAGGTAAATATCTATATCTTTGAAAGATTCAAAATTTGGGTTGCCTTGGCTTCCCCCTAATGGATTGAAACAAAGTCGGCAACTTAATCTGGCCGCAATCTTCAAATCATTTTCTCCTAAGGCTGCTGCTGATAACTTTCTTCCTCTTCTCCTCTGCATCCTTCATCGTCGCCGACAACGACTTTACGAGATGCAAGTGCGATGATGAGGACAGTTTCTGGAGCATAGAACCTGGGATGCTAAATGGTCCGAGATTTTTTAATCGTTGTCGCCTATTTTGCAATCCCAATCGAGCTACTCTATTTCATCGGGTGGGTTGGGTGGGCGAGTTAGGGTCGGTTGGTTACGTTAGTCTGATTTGTTCATTTTATTTTTATTTTTTGGGATGACATGTCAAGCTGACTGGACTAAATTGACGGTTTTTTGCATGAAATTGGACAGAATGGCCGTTTTGGTATTCGTCTAAAGATGTTTTACTGAAACGTGCAAAAATGAAGTTTAGTGACCGATTTGTACTAAGTGACAAGTTGTATGACCGTTTATGATAACTACCTGGAAAACAACTCAGCGCAGAAGCGGGGGGGAAAGTTAGGGGTGGTTTGCTTGTGGGATTTGGGTGTTGTATTTGGGATACAAATATCAAGCATTATGTATTTGATAAAAACTATTGTTTGTTGAGGTATACAAATCCAATGCATTCTCCATAAACTATCTAAAAACTAATGATCCACTAGAACAATGCTTACTATAAGTAGGAGGAGAATACTTCTGATAACACTATATTTATACATGTTTTTACCCCTTAATGTGGGAGCTAAAGTAGGGTTCAAGAAACGTTACCATGGTAAGTAGTAAGAGATGATTGGGATGCAATAAAGTTGTCTGGACCCCAAACACATCCTCGAAGGGCACTCAGAGCCAAGAGAAAAACCATTTGACGGTGTATCTCAAACTCTATGCTCTGTTGCCACTCACGTGAGAGGCTGAGAGCCTCGTTGTAAAAGTTGAGAGTTCAAAAATGATGGAGAATCTCACACGCATGTTCTTCCTAAAATAGCGAACATTATTGACCCACCAAAGAGGAAGAAGAGAGTAAAATCCCTCATACACTGGTAATCCAATCATGCAACTACTCTCTAGTGAGCACAACGCATCTATCATCTATCAATTCAAATCACATTGAGTAGGAAGTTGAAAGAAACAAGATGGTTTGGAACCCTCAAATTTGAAAAAATTGGGTATAAAAGTTTTCAAAACACTATCATTTGGCCACTCAACACCACAAACACACCCAATCGATATGTGCACTACCACAAGCAATCATTAACGTCTTACATTCATAATAAAGGGAGGCAACTACGATTCATGGCACATTCAATCATGAACTTTTAAAGCATACAATGCATTCCCCCCACACTTAAGAGACACATTGTGGACGTGCACGACTAGAAGCTGACATTAAGGATAGAGACGGAAGTCACTGCCTTCGATCAAAGAAAGGAGCACAAACATAGCTTCTCAACATGGATGGGTAGGATTTTCTAGGAGTAGT